TTTCACTTTCTAAAATTGTGACAACTCTGACATGATTAAAGTTTGGGCTTCAGGGAAATAGAATCTCTGGGTTCAGGTTAGCAGAAGATTGTGGTCTTAGTTAAACATTGCACATGCCAACACTTCTTTCCAGGGCAAGCTAAGATGCACTCTACTGCCTTGGAACTAAAATGTGGTAATGTTGTTGCATTGTTTTGTAACAAAGGGCTAAACGAATGTGCTCAGTCTCCTTTGTGTTTGTTTTAGAGTGCATTTCACCAGGGTGCATTGTGTGCCTGTGCACTTAAGTCAGGATCAGTAATGTCACTCTGACTCCCTCCCTTCCTGCTTCTTTCTCTTTCTCACACACTCCCCTCACTCTCTCTAAAGAGTGACATTTATTAATTAAATATGGTGTACTGCCGCAGGATGTGCTTCCCTTTCCACTATCTCTAGACGCTAATAATTACATTGGCATTTAGCTCCGTGATAAACCGACCCTTATGGCCTTTATGAAATGTTCCCTGGGCCTGGATACTGAACAAAATATAGACTGATGTGAACCTATACGTATATCGATCCATCCGCCTGTCTTCTCGCTTTTGTCTTCAGAAAAGAGGCACCGTTCATTAGCATGGTTAACAACAACACCTCAAACACATCATTAAAAGCAGAAAATGAGATTTATTGGTATAACTCTGTTGGTAGACGGCCTGTGTAAATTCAGTTAATATTATTACAGGTAAATAATTCTCATAACCTACTTTCTGTAACCTTAAAGTTTGAAGGGATATTTTTATAAAACTGTTTTACAGTAAAACAAAGATTGAATGTGCTGAATATATGATAGAAAATGAGTATTTTGATGATTTTTTTGTTCAGTATTATGTAATTGATTAGTTTCATTTTTGATTTATTCATGTAGACTAAACTGCACTTTGCAGTATAAACAGCAGTCTGTCAAAGCCCAAGGTGCCATATTCACATAGCCTTTTGTCTAAGAGTCCAAAACCCAAAAAGATTTACTCTACAGGAACATTAAACATGTAAAATCCATCACGCTTCTGAGGCTGCAACAAGGGAGGATGTGGCATTTCTGCTTCATCGATTTGAATCTCAAACATGTTTTTTTTTAATTAATTTCTTCTCAATTACAGCTGTGCCACTAAGTTTGTAGGCAACACAAGCATGTTTAGAAAACTTGGGTCTCCGGATGCTAAGTTGGTCTTTGAGGTCTTGGGAACTTCATTTCTGATAGTAAAGGATTTGCACACACTAAAGTATCAGGACAACCTCTCTCAGATTTATAGTAATACAGTATTTTGACAACATTTCAACATAAAATGAACAGAGGACATAAATGTGATGTATATTTGAATAAGGGCATTGATAATTAGGACATCTAAGACAAAAAAGATGAAATAAATGGTCAATTTTATTGCCTTTTTAAGTCTGATACTGAATAATTGTCGACAGTAGAGCGAGTGAGACATTGAGCCATCTTAGAATATGATTGTAGATTATATATTCACCTAATGAGAATACATGACACACTACATAATATCTGTGCAGTTTTAAGGAATGCTACTACCTGAAGGACATGTAATGTACATTACTTATGGTAGCATGCAGACTGTAGGTGGTTTCCCAGTCCAGGCACGAGACCACCATTCATGGTGGCGTGAAGCTTGACGGTCCTTAGGAGCTTTAGAAGGCAGCAGAGAGCAAAATGTTGAAGTCTAATCAGACTGTACATTGTACTGTTATTATGTGGCTTATCAGCTGTTGCTTAAGTCACAATTATTGTAAACATGCATTTAGTTTGTAAAACGTTCCCTTGCATGCTGTATATATTGGCTGACCAAAGCAATAACACACACAAAGGGTAGACCAAAGACACTATCAAAATAATCAACTAATAGACACTAAACAGACAGCCTGCTAACAACTAAATGTTTTCGTTTAAACCAAAAAAACAACATAACTTAACAAATAATGTCTTAACATAAATTACAAATAAACAACACCTTCCCCCCCCAACTGCCCCCTTTCTTGTATCCGGCACATGGTGTAGTCTAGGCCTAGAGGGAGGTATTTAACCCTGTCACCTCCTCAGTCCAATATTTTGTCACAACATCCCCCCATCCTTGGACCAGGAAACACACCGTAACTCAAGAGAAGATTTGCACATATTAGCAATACAAAATGAATCAAACATGCATGCTCATTGATCGATTATGTATGTCCAGTATCAAACAATACCTATCCTTTACCTACAATTTAAAATTACACACCTGAATAAAGAAAACAAAAGATTACCCAACCAATTCTACTGCTGGTGGTGGTGGTTTAGGCCCTCACATGGTTGAAGGCCAGGACTGAGGCCTTCACACCTGCTGTCACACTCTCATTTCCTCCTTCCAGTTTCATGGATTTAGAGGGAAACTCTAATTGCTTATTTCCTGTTATATTAAGAAAGTATACAGTAACTTTTAACAGAAACTTTTCCACAGCCTTGAATTCCATTGCTCTCTGCTGAAGTAGAAGAGCACTGTTCCACAGAGCAGTGTCAGGTTTGCCTGACTAATCTCTGGCCACCAAATTAAACTTGAGATTCAAGTCTCACTTATTCCACAGTGATCTTAGCTGGAATTAACAAGAAAAGTTTCAGGGAAAGCCATCTGACTTTGGACCACTGGGCTCAGGTGATTGTAGGCACCATTCAGTGTCAGCTAAGATTTTGCCATCTTGGGAAATCTCCCTTAGGCTTCTATTCCTTTGGTCGCTGTCCCTATCCTTGTCTGTCTTAGTGCCCAAAAAGGAATCACTAGTGAGTACTTTTCTGTCTGAACAACATGCTGTGCTGCTGCTGTATTTGTCACTGGGTACTTGACTGAGCAAAGGATAAAAGCCCAAATCGAGTGACAGAGATGCTCAGACCATAGGTAGCTGGCAGCTTTATTCCATATGCTAGTTTGCACCCATGCATGTATACATTCGGTATGCACATACAATCTGAAAATGCTTTAATACTGTGTGGGAGGACTAATATCTTCAGTTGTGTGGGTTCATGGTAATAGATATCTCATCTTTTTGTTTGTTCTGTTTCTACATATTTACAAGGTGATACATTTCATAACTCCAACTAGAAACCCAATATTCTCTTGCCAGGTGATATAAGTGGTATTTGTAGAAACTATGCTGCTGGGAGTAGCTAGATCAATCAAATAACATAGTACAATATGTAACCATGCTGTGCTATTTGATCATTCCACTGTTCTCTTGCTATGTAAGGCAATATCTTTGCATACTGTTTTATCAGACCTTGCGTTAGTTTTTCCAAATCAAGTGTAGAGCTTATTTGCTGGAATGTTAATAGAGTCGACTCTCTCAGATATTGCAGTCCAGATACAGTTTACAGACTATAAATTTAAAGATTGAACTTTAATGCCAAAGAAAACTTCCATTCAGCTCAGTTCCTCTCAGTGCACACATAATTTTTTTTGTGTGTTTTAAACAAACACACTTCAGTTTGGCTTTGAAAAGGCTTCCCACCATAAGCACAAAAGAACTTTTTGCCTCTCACGTCCAAGATGATTCACAGCACCTGCCTTCCAGTCCAAATGCCCAGAACCACAGTTGTGTTTATTAGCTTAGCTTAATTGTGCATAGTATCTAAAGGTCAGCGCCTGCTGTGATACATCGCTGCCAAAATGGCTTCCAGGGGACACTGTTTCAGATGAATAAACACTGAAAGCTGCACCACCTTCCGCCCCTCCGTCCCCATCCTTTACCTTCCCATGTGCAGCAAGCATCACTCTCGGCTTTCCCAGGACATGCACAAGGTTCTGTGACTGATGGGCATCCACTGGTACGCGCTGCCTCACTGACTTCCATTTCAGCTGGCAAAAGGTGGCATATTAATTCACTTGTCAGTTTTTCTTCCTGTTTTTCTGCAGGAGCCTGTGTTTATTCAGATAGGAGTAATGATGTTTGTCCTCTAGTGAATTAAAACATGCAGTATATCTGTATAACAACAGCCTTCTCAGTGATGAATGGAATTTGACTTCCATAAGCAGTAAACTTCTTCCGTTTGGCTATAAAAACTGATTTAATGAGAGAGTGACTTGAATAGATAAGCAGAGATGGCAGCAGGGATTATTGGGAGGTGAGCTGATGAAAGATGGATGATGTGCAGTATATTATCAGTTATGTAATGCACTTTTTATAAGCCCATAATTGTTGGACCTCTAGGTAACTGCAAGAGTCCAAGCTTGTGTGCATCCTGAGATACTGTATGTGTCAGAATGAATATGTGCTTTTGAAGCAATGTGTACACTTGTGATGCAGGTCATGTATTAATAAATTTTAAGATAAGAAAGAGTGCTGTTTGTTGAGGGCCTGTAAAAAATACAGGAGCTTTAGACCCCCACATACTCAGTAGGTGTCTAGTTCAAATCTACACCCAAATGCAATTTGCCTGGACCTTAAACAAAATTCAGCCTGACCCAGAATGCTTCAGAATGACATAAGGTCGCCTCACCTGTCATCTGCCAGGCACTAGCAACCACATTTAGCTAGCTTGTTGTCAGATGGAACAACTGGGGATGAAAGATGGTTACAAACGTTAGGTTTAAAACTAGACATGACGGTAAAAACGTGCACTTAGGGAGGGCAGCTTGACAAGTGTTTCTTCCTTCTGTCCAAAACAAGCACCTGTGTGTGTAATTGCAAGAAAACAGGCCCTTGTGAAGAGATGTAAAAAAGTCATTAAACCAGACAAAGAGGACGAACCACAAAACAGCTGAAATCATCATATGAATTGAATGTAAGGAAAATTACACAAAAGGAGTTGAGGGAAGAATCAACATTTTAAACTATACATATAGTGAAAATGTAATGGCACTAATAAACACTGCTGTTGAATGTGTTCATACGTTTTTTTGGTAGTGAAATCAATTGTTTCCAGCTTTGATTGAAGTATTTGAAAACGACCTTGTTTCTTACTTCTTATCCTACAGGCTTTGTTAGCAGGAGGCCATCAGATGGATCTAACCAAGTTTCGACACACACTGTGGGAAATCCTGACAAGAGGAGACAGTGTAAAGGTGAGTGCCATCATTCCTCATTTCCACCACACATATCTGTTTCCTTTTTTACCCAGTTATTCTTGATAATGGAAAAATGGTCTTCGAACACCCCTTCAGTTATGTATTCTACGGAGTCGTATCCGGAAACTGGCACAACATAGTTCACTGACATTTCATCTAGTGCCACCATGAGGTTGGTCTATGGAGTGAAATGTCTTGATGGCTGTTGGACATACTGTCATGAAACTTGAATCATCCGCCTATAGGAGATTCCATTAGTATCTCCACTCACTGTGTGTAGTAGCCTCCAGACGCATTGTAGGGACAATAAACAACCCAACAATATGCACAAAATGTTTAGAAAATGTATGCCTTTAACTGAAATTTGAAAAAACTTAATTTCTCCAGAGCTGTAATGTAGCCCTTGGTAATCTGATGCAGTGATGTTCTTCTGATTACCTAGTGCTCTTGGTGGTATCTTACCATGACTGTCACAACACATATTACCTCATAATACCTTTCTTTAGTTGCCGTTAATTTAGAGTCCCTAAACTGCCAGCATATTTCTCAGCTCGTTTGACAGCTAAGGCCAAAAAGAAAATGTCCGTGTCTCTCTCCATCTCCTGAACCGAAAATGTGGAGACTACCAGATAGCATCCTTTCATTTCCGCTCCTCCAGATAAAAAGGTGAGAGAGGGAGAGGACCAAAGTGAGGGTTGTCACTGGGCAGCAGTGATTGAGTCCCCTCGCTAAGCCACAGCGAGAATCTGCTCAAATAACCACTCTGCCGATAAGAAGGTAGTCATTTTCATAGACAAAAAACACTGGGATTCAGATTAGATTTCACCATCCACTAGGCTTATCATGGTGTTGCTCCATCATAGGATTTGACTTATAAGGCAAACTGCTGCCTCGCTTTTCATAAAAAAAACACCACTGGAATACACATGGGCTCTTAATGGAATGGTTTAATTTGCTGTATAATTGTCAGCAATAACAGCAATGCTCTGAATTTGGTGCCCACATGGAAGTCTAAGACATACATAGAGGTGAATTATACATTGACATTGAGATGTTTCAAGATCAGAACCGTTTGATGTTTTTGACTGAACACAAAGGGCTGTAAAGATACAGAGTTTTAGTCATATACAGGTTATTATTGTATTTATTTATGGCCATGGCTCTGCAGCAGATAGGCCCTGAAAGGTGCTGAAAGCCTTGGCTGTTTGAGGACATCCTTCAAACTGTCATTGTACCTGTAAATTCGACCATTTGCGCCACACAAAAGCTCTTTTTTTGTGTGTCTAGGCGAGGGCAGGCTGGTTGTTGTGCACTCAGGCTTCTTATGGGTACAGTATGAAAGTGCAGTACAGGGCAGTATGAGCCTTTTACTCTATTTCCCTTTAATGCTTCTCTGTTTATTTTCACTATTGTTTATTGTGTACATCTTGAGTTTTTGTTCTTCTGTTGGACTTTATGGTATTTACTGTATATTGTAGAATTTCTATGGTAACAACTTTTACCTGGTGTGATGGAGTCGATTTATGCCTTATTACATGCAAAAGACGTACAAACTAAAGATGTTGCTAACCAACTTTATCAAGTGATCTAAAGATGTTTCTGTTGCTGTCGGAAGCTGCCCAAAGGTTGCAAGCCACACAAGCATTTGTGTTTCCATGTGTCATCAGGCATCTCTGTCACATCCATTGTGTTTCAGCCATATGTTCACTTGATTTTTATGAATTTTTCTTGAGATGCCTGAGTCAAGACTCTTGATCAGGAATGGAGTCTATTATAAAATGTGTTACATAAAGACTGGTAACAGATTTGATCTTTTCCCTCAGATACAAAGGGACTTTGGCTAATTGTGTTGTGCTGAAGCCTTGCACTGTAGCTGTGGCAGCTAATGGCATATTTTCATTCCACACTCCAGGCCATGCTTACATCCCTTACATAATACACATCCTGGCAACAGAGCCATCACAAATACAATGGCCATGACAGCACTGTCTGTTTCAGGAGCAAATATTGCTAATGAATCACCACTTCTCTCATGCAGCCTAATTAGGAGCTAATTATCTTTTCTGATTTTTGTAAGACTTAAACCTGTGCCACCCTGCCTTGTCTAAAGGCTTGGAGGTTGCTGCTTGTCTTGGTTGCAGTAAATAACATTTGAGAAGACTGCGCTTAGTGTTGCCCACCCAAACTCCATACATCACTTTTCTGTTGCCTTGAACTTTTTCGTTCTTTGCATGTGTGGGTTTTGAATTATGGAATTTCACACACGATTGTTTCACACACATGATGTATTTCCCGTCGGCACAAGAGAGAGTAGATATTCTCACTTAGCCTCAGCGCTCAATGCTGGTATGGCCTGGCGACTGATATCACTTTTTAAAATGACGATAAATATACAGCAGTTTGATTTCAAATGTCAGGTGGTCTTTTTCCATCAGCACGGATCAGCCATTTTAATTGAGCTGAGCTGGGTGGGCATGGGTTGGCCTCCGTTTCCATCTGTTCCTAGCAGCAAGGGGTAGTCGTGCTGACTCGGGCTCAGCCGGCCCTGCTTCCACCCAGGGCCAACTGGGGCCAAGCACCACCTTCTACAGAGCTGGCTCATCAAAACACGATTGGCTGAAATGTTGTGCAGAGCGAAAGTCCTTACACATCCAGATTTGACTTTTCACCCCTTGTTTCATTGCAGCAAGATTTGAAAATGGAGTCTCTCACTGGGTCTTTTGATGAGTTAAAATGATGCCTGGTACCAAGGGCTTCATGTTCCAAGCTTTTATACTGCAGTGCAAACTGAAACACACTGACTTGGGAGCAGCTCAGTCACACGCGCCTCAGCTCGGCTGGGCTGACCCGTGCTGATGGAAAAACACCAAGAGTGTTCTTGTTGAGAGCAATGAATTATCCTGTCACTCTGTAATTTACCCACCATAACAGCACTACCTGCTGGTGTTATGACAAATCAAGCATCAGCAGTGAAAGTGAAGGCATTGTTTTTACACTTAGAATAGAAGCAAAAACTGTATTTTTGTTGACTAGGGTTTTTTTTTTTTTGCCATGGAGACTGATGTGCTTTAAGGGGACATTTGCATGAACATTTAATGGAGCCCCTTCTGGTCTTCATATCCCACTAAGCAAACCTGATAGCAAGAGCTTTCAGGGGCCTCATCCAAAGCACATTTTCCTTCCTCTTCTTTCTCCAGGTTTTTAAACAGAGAAAACTTTGGTGACTATTTTATGGGGTATATTGCCTCAGTTTCCCTGTGTGGAGCGGGGAGAGTGGCACGTGGTGGCGACCGACAGGCCCACATGCGGTATCTGCTAGGAGACAGCCGTCTTGTTTGGTTTGTCAGTCTGACACTCCTACTCCCTTTTGCCTCCTGTTTTCCTTCTGTCACAGGCAGCAGGTCTTTCAGCCGAGAGTGTGACTGCTGACCGTTTAGTTGTTTCTTTAAATTTTAGAACAACTTCAGAACTTCTGTCGATTCATCTGATACTGTTAGCTAAATTGGCAACATATGGATACAAATCTGTCTTTGCACAGACTGTAGCATTTATGGCAGTTAATCATAGGATTACTTTTAAGATCGGAATACTTAGCTTCTTTTGCCAACGTTGACTTTTACCTTGAGAGACATTACGTTATCAAAAGGAAAGTGTCTTCTTTGCAGAATGATTGTTTTTCATGGATAAGAGAATTTTCTTGAAAAGTAATTCACTTTTGTGATTCAGAATAATTCCTTCTGCATTTACTTTTTAAGCTGACCTCAGCTTTCCCTTTCACTCAGCTGCACATTAAAGAAATATGCTGTACCAACCATAAAATAATAGCAGCAAATAATTACTTTTGTTGTTTCTTTCAGTGCTACTCAAACTCCAGCGCAAACCTCTCAATATCAATATTCTCAAGTGCAAGCCTCAGTGACTGCCTTTACTATTATTGGAAGGCACACTTCATTTCCCCACCCCCAGCATTCAATTTCATGGAGGGATGAGAAAAGTCTGCTTTTTCATGCTGCTTACAAAGATTTGAAACCCTACAGTATGCTCACTTTGTTGCTGCCACCGCTGCATTGCTGCTCTCTTATTTAATAAACAGTGTGCTTGCTTGACTTACAGTAGGTTTCCCACTTGCCTCGCTCAGTGTGATGAGCAGCTGAATGGTGTCACAGCGAACAGGGACAGCTCTGTTGCTCTGTTGTGACAACATTCGTTTGATGTAGAAGTGGTAGTCCTTGGCTGCCGTGTTCTCTCCTTCTGCTCTTTTATGTTCTTGTTGCTGCTCTGTCTGGATCTCACCGCTGTCACATGTTGGGGAAGCCAACTGGCATGACCCAAAAGTGTGACGGTGGCACGCAAGCTGCCGTTTTTCTCTCCATCTAATATGCATACATTCATGGGAAGAAATGCATTCATTTCTCTAGATTAAACAACTTTAATTGGCTCTCACTCCGGCCTGAGCTGGTGTCCCAGGGTGCAGCAGAGGGTGCCAGGGTGTATGATGGTGTGCATGTGCGTCCTTCATTTCCATAAGCTCTGTGTGTTTTCATCACATATAAATCTGCCATATGTCCGGTGGATTTACTGCTGACTGTAGTTTTCAGTTGCAGTCAAGAAACAAACTCACACACATAAATACACTACACACTTGTACAAGTACCCATCGGCTGTAAAAAGGGCAGCACTCATCACAAGCAACCGCGGTTTTCCAGAGGAAATAATCATACAGTTAAAAATGCTGCAAAATGCACTAGTCCAGTTACCAGTCTTAATATTTTTCAGTATCAAACATAATCTCAAAGCGTGTGAGCATAAAATATAACATCCAATAAGGGACAAGATTATCTTCTCATAGTGGAAAACTTTTTAACCAAGTGCCATTAAAATTAATCAAAAGATTCGCTTGTTTAAACCATGACTCACTCTGTCAGTCCTCTTGCTGCGAGCTGGAGATACAGAAGAGGAAAGCGCCAGCAGCCATGTGTGCGATCGGAAAAGCTGCGCAGCCCGAGGCCCAAAATATGTGGCAGTGTTGTCGTCACCGCGTCACCAGCCATCCGTTCTCGCCTGTCATTATTTTACCTCTCACAGAGCGCACATGCAGTCTCCCAGGCATAAATGTGCACACTTACACCACCATACACTCTGTGCTGCCTTGATCTACTGTTAAATGCTGCCAGCATCAGAAACATGGTCGACTTGAACAGAATGGAAAAACACACACTACACTACAAACTTTTGTTGTTGATAAAGAAACGGTTGTCATTAAGCTGTTAAACCCAACATGGTAAGCAATTAGAAGTATGGTAGGTATTACATGCCTCAGTTGTTGATACTACCCATCCATTATTAAGTGTTTTAAAACTATATTTAGCATTGTTATCAACATACGTTGCTGTGATGCTTTCTTATTGGCCTTATTGATCATAATCCCCAAACAAAGGACCTTTTTAGCACTTTTGGTTCTGTGGAGTGTTAATGGTGTCTAGGGTCTGTATGGACTGAAAACACGAGCAAGAGGCGGAGGCAGTTTTGTGCACGACATTCACCACCAGTTGGTCTTAACCAGCATTTATAACAGCGGAACTTTGGTAAACCTTGACATGCAAATACTGACCAACTGAAAATTGGCTTGACCATGCCGATCTTTGATGGAAAGGAGTTAAACAGGGAGTCCAAACTGGAGGCAGCTATTATTCCTTGTGTCATATGGCTCTCAAATAGTCAGTGCATCGCCACCTGTTTTGTGAGGATGTGAACAAGGAATATTTTGGTGTGACTGAGACTCTTAGAGAGGAGGTAAAGGTGGATAGTGGATAGTGATATACAGTGTGAGACATTGAAGACCATGCAGTGTTGATCTTGATTTTTATTTATTTTTTTTGTATCAAGGTGGTCTTTGTCTATCCTTAACCAAGTAACCTTAGCTGCTTAGTTGTGTTGACAAGCTAGAAAATGCTTGTGAGTCATTCTTGGAATAGTCATTAGGGATTACTTCAGAGCAACCCATGCTAACATCGAGGCTGAGTGTGGTGGTGTGTTGAATGCTGAGTGTTACTGAAGATCTGTGCAGGGTTTGCATCGACCCTGCACTCTGCACTCCTGTTTAAAAGTTAAACTCTGCAGGGGTTTTCACAGATGTCACGAGCAAGTAGAGTTTGCATTAACAACAGTGGCAAGAGGCAGAGGAGATTCTGGAGGCTGTGCAAACCTTGTGCTGATGCTCATTCATCATGAAACTGTGTGGCTCTACAGAGATACCAGCCATGCTATGAACCATGCAGGATATACTGTATCTGACTCTAGTGCAGCTGAAGTGTGTGTTAAATTGCTATAGATTTACTTTTATATGTTGAGAGTTGTGGCTTCACAGTCTGTGCAGTTTGTTGTATTGGGCTTTGCAGCAGTAACATATCCATCAAAACTTGGGCGGAGGTGGAACTTTAAAGATCTATCCATCACCATGCTTCATCTTAGCCAGACATTACTGACTGACCGAAGCAGCACCTGTAAGCTACTGGCCGTTAAGATCAGTCACTGCCAGGTTTTTATAAGGAATGTCTAGTAAACGTGTAGAAAACGTGTAGATAACACACAGACAGAGAACACCTACGTGAAGTGCATTTAAATCATGTGACACTTCAGATATTAAAAAAATATTCTGTAACCTATGACACACTCACCAACTAAGGGAATTCAACATTACACACATGTTGGCTGGCACATGCTTGGCCGTTATGAGTGTAGCTCTACCAAGGTGAGCACACACACAAAAGAAGCCCACAAAGTATTACATAAGTTAGGATTCTCTGTGGTTTGAACCTTAAGTTGCTGCACAGGCGGCTATTTAAATTGCATCAGTTCCTCTGATGTAAATGTGTATAGCCTTCAACTCCCTCAGAGCTTTTAGTCATTTATTTTGATTAAGGCTGTATTTATAAGATAAGACTCTTAAGTAAGGCGCCTGGGAAGACTGGTTGGCGAGGATGGTGGTGGGGGAACAAAATTAAGTCTGTTTGATGATTATAAATTCAGAAATATCTGCTTGTCAATTAATTAGCTGCTTCCTGGGTATGCGTGTCCCTCTTTTCATTTACCGGGCCCAGCTCTCGGTGGACAAATACCCGCGGTGCTCCTATTGTAAGTCTAAGCTGTTACACACATCTCCGGCAACTGGGGAATGGAGAATAAAGATCCTTAAAGGCAGACAGTTTTCAAGAGCGGGCCTGTTTTCGTGTGTCTGTGCTTATTTCTGGGAGCAGCGTATGTGGCTGCTCGAAGGCTTTACTCTGCTGGTGTCTCGTTCTCAGACACAAACAAGAACTGGAGAATGTAGATGAAAGGATAGGTAGGTCTGAGCTTGGAGTGATGCTTCCATTATATCTGCTTCTAACAATGCAGCAGTATGTGCAGGAGACCTATCTTATTGGGGCTGCTGTGGCTAAGTGAGCACTGGCTGTTGTCATAAGGATACTTATGTATTTGTACATGAACTGTTACAGTAATATCTGGGTTTTTATGGTGAATCAAGACCAGTGTTAATCAAGGAAAGAAAATTAGATAAGAATCCAAAACACCTGAACATATTCTTCAGCTTTTCAGCTCTGTTGGTATCCATATACAGAAGAAATGGATAGTTTAGTAATTGCACATACCTGTACATACTGTATAAGTACTAATTGTCGTAACGAGAGAATGAAAATTGATCAGCCAAATGGTTTGCTTGCCAGCTACAGCGTTTCAATACCTAGCCCTGTGAGGAGTCACTACATTATCAAGTGTGGATCACCAAACATCACACTGTGGCGTCAGAGGGTATATTTTGTTCCACTTGCTTTTTATTTTGTAATGAATATTCATTTTTAATTGATGCGATCATTTTTACTTTGGTAGACAAAGCTAGTCTGCTGCTTTTTACTGGAGGCAAACTAGTTTACAATAACCCTCTGTAAAATCATAAGATGTCATTTTCAACTTCGGCAGTACAAATTAAAAAAACAAGATAGAACATGTTAATTAGGGAGCTTTAGAGCTGCTGGTAGGTAGATTTTTTTCTACCTTTGCTCAGAGCCAGGGTAGCTGTTTCCCTCTGCTTCACAGAGACCAGTTTTGGGATCAGTTTAAATTCCCTTCCAGATGAGCTTACAGCTGGATTCACCTGAGCTCATAAATCCTAATGGGAATAACATTTGTGGATTGTTACTTTATAAGACTTGTCTAGCAGAGTAACTCAGTAGCTTTTTTGCCCAAGTTTTTACATTTGTATTCAGTCCAATCTGTTGAAATCTTCTGCACCATAAATACTGCATGGGATGTCACAGTGATCTTAAGCAGGTTTTTGTTCTCCTCCGAGGCGGTGAGTCACATTGCGTTTGGCAACGCCTCTCACTTGCATGGTCGAGTTTACAGTTTGGTTTCCAGTAAAGGGAAAAGTGACAGCATGTGACAAGTCATCACATCAGGCCTCATATTTCCTCTGCCCCATTTGTGGCAATCTTGTCATATTTAGTCCTCCATATTTAGACCTAAAATTGCTTTGGCTCTGCCTGTTTTTCCCATGTGACCTGAAACAGAACACTAGCATCCAAGCATGTTGTCTTTCATCATTAAACTGTCTTTCAGCGGCTCCTGGGAAACACCTAGAGCACAGAAAGGAACCTTGTATTTTGCAACATCAAGCGCACAGCATCTGCTGGGAGGTGCATATTGCAGTCATGGACTTGAGCAGAAATGGGCTTTTAAAATCATTTTTACTGTCTCACACACGCGCACATTGACGCACACTTTTGTAGTCGCTTTATGCATTAATGCAGCTGATACTCGAGGTCTTATAAGTGTTATATCTTTGACCTTGTTTTCTCTCCCTCTCTCTGCTTCTGTTATGTGCTTGTAGATCAAAGACACACATGGTGCACCAGGCAGTCTTTTAGCTGAAGATCCTCATTTAATGGCAGCTGACAGAGGTAAGTTATGTAACCTTACTGCCATCATCTCTACCTACACTGCCATCCTATAAGACCGAGTTACATTATATGACTGTATGTGTGTGAAACTGTGTATTTTATGATGGTCTGATCCTAACAAAAGCAGCTGTAGGTGGAGATAAAATGGTCAGTGCCTCTCTATTAACAGCTTGTGTGCTCTGTCTGTATATGCATTTTAATGTTTCATCCATCTGTGTGCATTGTGTTAAGCACTTTGATTTGCCTTTGTGTATGAAAATGTGCTATATAAATAAGCTTGCCTTGCTTTGCCCCCTGCTGACTGCAGTCTGTTTCTGACAGGCTTCACTTTTGGTACAATGTCATAAACACCGGGATTACAATATATCTTTATTGTATTATTTTAATAGCACCCTGGAGGTGCACCTCACTCCTGCATCAGGTTGTGTAGGCTACTTGCTAATAATATGCTGACAGGCGGATTTCTGTCTTTAGAGCCGACGGGTTGAACGCACATATTTGGGGTCAGGAAGTCATTCCTAATGAAGTAATTTCTATCTTAATTATTTTCAGGTTTTGGAAGAAAACAATTCTAGATATGATATGTGTACCTCATATGCTATTTGCACCTCATCACCGACGCCCTGGTGATGCTGAACCATCTGACAATCTCTTATTATTGTTTAGCACTACTGTTACTGACTGTACTCAGTTTTGAGTCACAGCTTATTGGCTTTACTGTTTAGATTTATGCTAATTACATTAATCCAGTTCTTATTTTATTCTATTTTGTTTTTATTCTGTTTTAGTTCCTAAATGTTATGACACCCAATACTAGGTGAGACAGAAATGGTATGTCGATTTTCTGCATGTCCTGCGCATATGGTGAATTGACAATAAAATCCTTGAACCTTGAATAGAATGTATTCTTTTCCTCCTAATATTTTTTGATTTCATTACTACGGTGTGGACCGGCTGGAAAGCTTTGATGGTCCAGATGTGGCCCATGGGCCGCCCGGTTGATGATCCATGGCTGCTTAGAGGCTTATATTTTGTTTGTTGCTAGTATCATATGATTTTATTGTGGTACACACACAGTGAATTAACTACAACATATCTGTTTAATTAGGCTGATCATTTGCACTGCTCCTCTTAAAGGCTGACAGTGAACACACATGTTCACGTTCATGGGGAAATTGGCTCACCTAATTTAGAGGATATTCCAGAGGAAGACATAGTAGTAGTAGCCTTTTCTGTAAAAAGTACCTTGTAGAGGTTTTGACTACTAGTAGTGCTAGAGCGGCGTGGTTTAAACTGGTCCTGTTTTAGTTTTATTTATCACATGCACGTACATGTATGTGACCTGATACAGTCTTGCAGAGGGTTTCATCCTGTTCTATGACAGTTTGTGGCAGTAACAACCCAAGAAATATAGCAAATGTGTGAACAAATGCGACAGTAGCTAGTAAACATGGATCTAAATAATGATGGTGTTGAAGTCTTTCAGCAATTAGCTTTGAAAATGCTTTTGAAGGAAGGAAGTGCATTTAACTCATTTATTATGCCTCCAGGATACATGCAGTGTATTTTTGGAGAGAAAGCATGGAAGTAAACATGGCTTTGATACTGATGCATACGTTACATATATATTATGGGATAGCTGATATACCCAGGGACGTTTTTTGAACCATCTTTTGTACATTGAGAATATGCAGGCACTGTAGTTGACAGAAAATTCTACAGCAACTTTATCCATCCAAGATATTCTGGTGCTTGAATAGAAATATGCTGGCGTACTGAGAAGCTTGGTTACTGTCTGAAAATAGCAAAGAGAGCTTTGTAAACCATACCTCCTGCACCTATTCCTTTGGCCATAGTTTCAAACAAATCTAAGTGAGAATGCTCTTAGTGTAGATGTGTGGCTGATGTAAAAGGCTGTTTGTGTGTCTCATGTTGTGTTTTCAAGGTGATGCAGCTAGTTTACTCCCCTTCCACACCACCGGCATATTATCCCTTTCTAGCAGCTGCAAGGAGACAGGCCCAGGTATTTATGGCTAGCATAAAAAGCGTGTGCATTTCCTGTCACTCTACAGCTTGAGATTTACAGCGCATTTGACAAACACACTGAATTAAAAAGGAGTGTTCAATTTGTATAGGAGTTTAGAGCCTGTCTGCTGTGCATGCTCCCAGTGGGTTTTTCTGTTAGTGCGTGTGTGCGCTTGTGCCTCACCGTCTACGTACGCCTCCCGCTGCGTGAGAATGTGTCAATGTGTCTGCCTGTGTGCGCGATTGTGTGTATTTTTGTGTGCGTGAGTGAGTGTGTGCACACTGAGCCTGCCTGCTCTGAAACACCAGCAACAGATAACAGATGGTCCCTCTGCATTAGAAGTGTTTTATTTCCCTGCGGAAGCCAGATATGTCAAAAATAAGCATGTGCAACATTAGTCATTTGGAATATTCATGCCCCTGTCGTCCGATGGTTTCCCTTTCACAGCCAAAATACCACAGCCCAATTCTCCGAAGGAAGTGAGGGGAATAAGGGGGAGAAGGGGAAAAAAGCAGTCATCAGCTGAACTGATGGAGGGGAAAAGGCTGAAACCTGCATGTGGCTTTAATGGGGGAATCTTTTTCTCCCAGTCACTTCTTTAGCATAGCAGAGCTGTAATTAAAAAGGGGCTACAGACTGAGGATGTGTCCATAGAACCACATCCCCACACCCCATTAGACACATGCCCGTATGCCTGCGTGGCTGCAAACATGTAGCTACATTAAATAACCTCATCCAATGCATCAGACTCCTCCTCTTCTCTCCTCTAGTGTTGACAGCTGTTTTTAGATGTAGTCTCAGTCCTGGTGTCAAAATTTCACTTTAGTTTTACTTGTATTTGGTCAAACTTTAATAAAACTAAAATTCTCAACATTTAGTCTCGTCTTAATCAGGGAAAACATTTTACTCATTTTAGTCTTTTTGTTTTAGTCATCAGAAGATTAGCTGACAAAAATATTGTAAATTTTTAGCCAAGACCAAGAAAGCAACCTGCTTTCAGTTTATTTTAGACTAAAAGCAAACTAAAATTCAACTAGGCCACAAAATGGCAGATTGTATGATTAACATCTTTGCTTACAGCCAGACACCAAAGAGACTATAGCAGGTCAAGTACAATCTAACTCTCCTTCTGCTTGATGACAGTGATAAAGTATCCACAATTGAAAGTAGCCCCACAATAAACCCTGCTCTTATGTTGTTCATAATGTTCATGAAGCTTAAATGGCGAAGTTGTGTGTGCTAAGGTTAGCCAAGTTTGCTAACCTGGTGCTGCTGCGTTTTCAGTGAGGATAACCCCCCACAAATATTATCACAGTATATTATTACATATTGATTGATATTGAGAATTCAGCACATTTGTGAGACCTGTAAGACAGAAAACTCCACCGTGTACTTTTTTAAATTTAAATTTCTGTGGAACAGTGTTTGTTCTCACTCTAAACAGTGAGTAATCTTTTGAATCAGTAGCTTGATACTCTTCACAACCAACATGGTTTAACATTTATTAGGCTTGCGCAAAGCTCTGCTGTGTAGCTAGACTACATGCCAGTATTGGTGGCAAAGTGTCTAAAGCTTGTCGGTCCCTAAATTCAAATTCCCTGATTTAAGCTTAAAGACGTTTTCATCCTGAGACCTTGTGCAACCGCTTTTATTAGCTTTCAAAACTGTATGGAGATTTGATCACAGATATTGCTCAATTATGTCAGTTTTGTCTTGTTTTTATGTCATCTTCATCGCAGGATAAAAGGTCATTGAGAGTGTAACGAAGGGGAGACTCGTCTCCTTGCCTGCACTACTTACTGTATCTTCCCATTCCTCCGCTTCATCTCCATCTTTTTAACTATCTTGATGCTCTGTAGCTTTATTCGCTTTAATCTCCACCTCCTCTCTTCCCAGGCTTTCTACCCCTATCTCCCACCATTGAGCAAGCTGCCATCCTTGTCCTTGGTGGCAGACATGGGCATGCATCATTATCAGGCCTGATTAACTGTCCACGTAGTTGGCAGTCTGGGCCCCACCGGGGGCCAGTGGCGTGGTTATCCTACTGTCGAAAATGAATTTATGAGCAGCACTTTCTCACTCACTGTGTTCCCTCATGATCAGGGTTAATTCATGGCAGCATGCGTGAACGGTGTAGAAAGAAGAGAGGAGGAACAGCTACCAAACAGTAATGCACTGCTTATTGCAGAAATGCTATATAATTTATTCAAGAATATGCAAATCCAACAATCACTCTGCCTTGTATACCGAGGGGACCTGCTGATTCAGAGTCTGAAAGAGACAGAGAAATGGGGGAGGGGGTGTAGGAAAACAATTCCATCCATTGACATAAACATACAGTGCATGCACAAATTTAAATGAAGGTGTTAGGCATTAAATTTATTCTGGTGGGCATGGATTCCTAACAAAGAGCGAGAATGGTTATGTGCAGTGCATGTCATATATATATACTTACTGTACAGTTCCTACAGAGAATTAAATTAGGTATTGAATGAATACCATACAATACTGCTACTACCAAACTGTGCCTGTAGCACAAAAGAAAAGTTGTATATTTAATGTAGAATTTCCAGTCAGATTTATCATTTTCCTTATTTTGTAGGCACACATTTCCTTTTTTTAAAAAAAAATTTAAATAGTCTTTTATTTGAGTTCTTATATGCTTGTTTTTAGTTGTTCCAGATTTATCGACATTTGCTTTTATTGATAAATGAAGAAAGTATTTAGTAGAAAAACTTGACCCTATATTTAATTTGACTTTATTTCTGCAAGTACAGTACTGAAGAAAATATTTCTTTTCATGTTAATAATAGAAACTCCCATATTGTATATGATAGTATTTAAGAATGTTAAACCCAGTTTTAAATAAGCCACAAGAGAATAGATTTACAAGGCAGTGACAAAAAGTATCAGCAGACGTCGGTGTTATGGGTTAATGTGTCTTTAGTGCCCTCTTGCCATTTAAAGAACCTGT